ACCCCCCCCATCCGCTAGCGCTGACTGGCGGATCGGACGGGGGAGGGGGCAGGTACAGCTGGCTCTGCAGAGCCAGCTGGGCGGATCCAGACATAATTGTCAGGATCTGCTTCAGCTGCGGCGTCTCAGTATACCAAGAGCAGTAGCTCGCGGTATACTGAGCTTAGGGTGACGGGAGGATGCTAGTTTGTGTCCTCCCGTTACCCTAAGGAGAACTATGGGGAAAAGTCCTAACCCTATAGTTCTCCTTTAAATTAAAGTTCTTCATAATCCTAAATAAATTAGCATAAAATCATTATTCTATTGTTTTTTTTGTACCTGTCCCTTTAAGAAAAAGTATCTGTAATTGGTATCGACAAGTACATGAGGGGGCAGTACTTGTATTTGGTCTTAAAGTGGTATCGGGACATCCCTAGTTTAAACTATTAGGAGTGGTTTGCTCTCTGTGCCCCACTTGGGAGATTTTCCTTCACTTACTTTCCTGGAGACAACTTAATATGAGAGGAAAGCTCACCAAAGTGAAGGTAATTCCCATCTTAGACAATTGTCACTGGAGCAGTTGTCCCCATTGGATGATTATCCCTTACCTTTTTGTTCTGGTGATTTCCCCCCCACTTTCTCCTTTGCTGATAATGGTCACCAAGACAAATGGAGACGTGAATCACCCTAGCAAGTACACAGACCACAAGAAAATAAGGGGTTAATAGTCTAGACATAAATTTATTCCATTGCAGGAGCAAGTAGAAGACTAAATAGCCAACATGTTTCAGGAGTCATAACTTGTTGAACATTTTGCCCCTTTTTTTTTTTTTTCAACCACTATTTTGTAACTCTAATAAAGACTTACCAGTAACTAATGTAATTTAATGTATTTTATATTTATATAACCATCATTTTACCAATAAATTACCCCAAAACACTGCTAAAAAGCAATTTTATAAAAAAAAAAAAACATCAAAAGCAACCAAAAACATTGTGTCCATTTCAATTCATAAATTCCATTAAAACGTGCCATCCAACTGTGTCTTTATATAATCCTGATGTGCTGCACACAAAACAAACTTGTTGATTGTGGTGCAAATGATTCCAATTTAAATCCCGTGCTTCTATGTGCACACTCCACACTCGCCAGAGGCAATGGACCATATGTTAAATGGTAAAATAGCGCTCAATCATATCCTTAATACATGTTCCAATAAACAATCTTTCCTCCAGGCATCAGTAGCTCTCAGAAAAAATAAGAATAGTGCAAAACATAAAATCCTTAAACAGCTTTATTTAAAACCAGATATAAAAACTTGCATCAAGAACAAAGGAGCATATCTCCCAAAAACCTGAAAGTTGTGATTCTTTCGTCCTCCGCACCGGTCTCCTCTATTAGTTCCTCTGCTCACCCGCCGTCTAATTACAGCAACCCGCCGTCTGTCCGTTTTTTTCACAACGGGCGGACGGCAAACGGTTAAACAGTCAAGGCCAAAAATATTGACACCCCTGCATTTCTGTTAGATAATGTACCACTTCGTACAGAAAATTGTTGCAATTACAACGCAAGACTACCATTTTTTGGAGTTTTTTTGTGTGGAACGTGTCAGATTTGGCTTCTTTTTTTTTTTGTCATACCAATACAAACAAAAGAAATAAACATGAGAATGCCTAAACATTTGCAATTTTCTGCGCAAAGTGGTGCATTATCTGACAGAAATGCAGGGGTGTGTGTGTGTGTGTGTGTGTGTGTGTGTGT